GAGTGTGGGTTCACTAGAGGTGAGATTGCTGGAGGAGAGAAGAAGAGTATATGAATAAGGCGGGAAGAAGAGGAGGAACAATGGGTCATAGTGCAGCAAGGAAAAGTTTCAAAAGACTGGGCAAGAACTGCTGGTTTGATGTCCCAAAGGGCTATTTTACATCCTACCCTGATATATTCGGTGGTAAGCAAAATGATGTAAAAAAACAAACAAACAAAAAAAGCCCTGGCATGGTTGCAAAGTTCAAAAGAGAAAAAAAAAGGAAAGAAAAGGCAACTAGGACAAAGAGAAAGGAAAATAAGAAGAAGCACAAATAAAGAAGCCTTAGGGGAAGAAAACAGTGAATGAGCTGGTGTACCACCATTCAGATGGCAGCTGGATGTAGTAGCAGAGGAGGAGTAGGATAGAGAGACTGAAGGATCTTACAGTTTGTTACTGTGAAGGAAGGTAGAAAGGAACAGACCAGAATTGCACAATTCTTCAAAAAAGTAACAGATCAAATGACAGTACAGGATCAACTGTGTTCAGTTTATTTTAATTCAATTTTATTTGTATAGTGCCAATTTGCAATAACAGTAGAATGAATGTGACTTATATAGCAAGGTAAACTCCTGCAATATTAACTGGAAAACCCTAATGATCAGACGATTCCCTGTGCTCAAGCACGCGGAAACATGGAGAAGGAAGAATGGGGTGAGGTTTAAGTGACAGAGTTTAGGTGACCCCAAACCTACTCTAGAGTACCTGATAGACTACCAGCAGGAAAACAACAGGGATCTGACGCATAGGTTCATACAGTCACGACCATATTGAGCTAAAAGTAGGACAGCAAAATAACTATTGCCTGGGTTCTCCAGTATTAAAAGCAGGATGCTGAGAAGATCATTTGCATGTTCCCTGAAAGCATGCCAGACTAGGAAGGCACTTTTGACCATTTTTCTAAATGTATTCAACAGTCTGCTTCAGGGAGGATGTAACAAACACATTACTTCCAAGGGCTTGTGTGGTGCAAGGACATCCATTGAGAACGAGACAATAGAGGAAAAAGGCAGTAATGTATCTGTCTAAATTTCCTGAATTATATG